GTAATTTATTATTGATGAATAGAGGTTTGCAATGGTCCATTCTAAAATACGTTAGTTTTTACTTCAGATTTCAGGTTACATATGTTGGTTAGGATAGGTTATGTTAGCTTAGTTCAGTTGAAAACTAGTCAATTTTATTTCATTCATTTTTGATGTGTTTAATGGTAACTACAAACATCTAATTTCAACTACAATCAACTCCATCGTTTATAGTTTGAGGACAATTGTTATTTTATGATTTGAAGTCTTGTTATAGTTGCTTTTTTTGCTATACTTCAAAAGAATATGAAATATAGTAATATTTTGTTGTTACTACAATAAACTACAATCCATTTAGAATCTATTTCAGAACTTTTTGTCACATTATTACTCGTCCTTCGTAGTTAGAATAATATCAATAGTGCTTTCTCAGTAACCGATAAGTCTACAAAAAAATTAACATTACTACATTTATTAGTATCGTTTGTAGGTGAAGTAGGCTAAAAAAAAAGGTAGATTTTTCCCAAAGCGGGCTCCAGCGTGACGGAGCTATAAAGATGTCTTCTTTGTATTCATCGGGTTCGTTTGACCCAAAATCCCTGGATAAAGTTTTTTTAATATTCTTGGAAGTATTCTACGCGCCATTGGGCACAACTCACAATTAAAATGAAAGTATATTTTGAAAACTTATTAATGTTCTAAGGTGTATGTGTGTGAACTGGAAATAAAATGTGTCTGTTTTGTTCCAAAATTACATACACAGGAGAAGGACGCCTATTAAGAAGATTGAAAAAAATATCCAAATTTTGACGGGTCAGCAACTCTTATGTTTTTCCTCCCAATTTTTTTTGCATTTTCACTAAGAATACTTGCACAAACAAATGTCATAATATTAAAAAAAGAATAGTTGAAAATAACAATTATATTAAGCAACAATAAACCTGAAATGAAATGATAGTGAAATAACCTACAAGTAAAAATACAATTGTCATTTTTCGTTTGATGATGGGTTTCCATATGTTTCGTATATCTACGCTGGCCTGGCTGAATACGTTGTTGGACAGCATGTATGCGGCTTCCTTTACTTTTAATTATTCTCTTTTATTGTTTCAGGGATTTCAAATGTCATAATATTGTTATCGATATATCAGGAAGTTCTGATTGCAAGTTTCCATTCACTCTCAAATTTTGATTTGATCGAGCATTTCAATGGCAATACTTTTTTCACGCGCGCTTTTCAATTCATCGATTCCCGGTAGCTTCTAGACAGAATGTATACTTATTATTACCAATCGATTATGCAACTTTTACATGCACTACATACCTACTGTACTAGTTACGTTCTTTATGTTTCCGTTAGTTTAATTCAAACAAAAATTTCGTGATTAACTGCCGAAATTCATTATACACACCGTGATTTCGTTCAGTAATTATAGGTTTATAAAATTCAGGATATTTACATTCTGCTCCTGACTCGCATTTTCATTCACTGTGGAAAATTGGATTATTGTTTGGTTCATCATTTTATTATTCCCCATTACACTTTTATGTGGTAGACTTTTAAGTGAATTACAATAATTAGAGAATTGCAAATGAACTCATATATAGTACAGGACTATTATCATTTTTTTTTATCGAAGTCAGATTTTGATATTCCTGAGATAGGTTTATCTTTGCGTCGAACAATCGTTAAAACCTTTAGATTCGAACTATAAAATGTATTACACAATGAATATGGAATATGTAGCAAAACCGTTATCCAGATTAAAAGTAGAAACACTGTTGTTATGGTGGATTTCCACGAAACGGAGAATACCACAACAAGAAACACTCTGAAGACTTTGTGTCGCGAGCGACTGTTTTTGTTAACAACGAAATGTCCCGTCAGCAGGCGGAAATATCAAAAAGTTTCGGTGTTTTGTCTGTGTTTTTCTAAACAGAGTCGCTATGTGGAAACGACCGGCAACAATATTACTTTATTTGAAGTGTTAATTTGTGGTGGGATTAAATTTTGATTACCGGCACTGGGCAGGCTATTGTTATCGATTTATTATATTGTTGTTTATCTTAAACAAGAATGAGATTAAACTTTCCTTTGTAGAACATGAGCCAAAAAAAACAGTTGACACTCGAATGCAGCAACAGTTCACAAAAACACGGAACTCAGACTAGTTTTTGTCTGTTTGGTGGAATTCGAGTTTGTTTCCGAAACTGAAACAAGTTTTTTGTTTCTGTTTCGGAAAACGGAACTAGTTGCAAGTGAATCCGTTTGGTGGAAATCCATATTTAGAAATATAGGTTCGAATAGAGTTGAAAACTTCATTGACAAATAAAAAATACTACATGACTAACGATGTTAGGGAAATATGAATGTTTTCAGTATCTTCTTAATTTTCTCCATTATATTTTTCACTACATATATTTTTCGATATTGTTTTTTAACTCCATTTGTCGTATAGTTTGTGAAAGTTTTTATGAAGGATCAATGAAGTTATCTTATGATACGCAGTGAACATACATAAGTAAAACTATCAACTCATGCTATCAGCTAACTGCTACCCTTTGAAATAACTATACTGATGA